TATTTCAAAATTTAAGTTCCTATAATATAAACAATCAATAGGCAAAGTTTCACAAAAATCTCAGTGCAGGTTCTATTTCAGTGGAATGACCTTAACTCTTTTGCCCTTCACTCTGTCTTCTTTGTTATCATGGCACGTCACAGTTTTCCGATAAATATCTCAGACGTAACAGCACAGTTACTTTAGCCTGTTACCTGAGGCTGAGTTCGAGCGTGGAATTCCAGTTTTAATAAGAACTTCTATCTCACCAAGCTCTTCTATGACAGCGTTTCGTCCAACCTTCATGAAAACAAAATTAAAGATACCATATCTGTAGCGTGGAAATAACAAGAGTTCACATGCAAATGGTTGAGTTAAGACGTTCATAACAGAGGAGCTTGTCTGCTAATTGTAAGGGACCCGATCTACCATACTGTTAGACAACGCTGAGTTGCTTTTAGCATGCTCCCTGTGACATTAATTACTGTGTTACAAGAAAACCCACGAAGGTGAAAGGAAGGTTAACATTTGGGTTGTTGGATTCTGTTATTTGGGGCGTGGTTTATTTACGCGAGTTTGACTGGCAATGAGTCAGGTCCTGGAGGGTTTTTAACATTCTTCATGATGTTTGAGCTGGAGAGAGTGTGTTGGAACTGAAAACGTTTCAGTGTTTTTCCTTCTTTTGTTAGGAGGGATGTTGATGGGGAAATTCCCGAGTTCACAGCTTCCTTGCACCCCCTTCTATCTATCTCTCTATTGATTTAAGTAAGATAATACTGTATTTTCAAAGCATTCCTTACATCAGCTGAGTTGGTCATCTTCAGGTATGACTGAAGCAGTTCCCGCACTCTGTGTAGGTTCTGGTAATATTCTTTGCTTGGCGAGGTGGACTCTGTGTCAGTCTCTTCTGTGGCTGCACAGGCTTCAACATGAGCAAGGTACTTGTAAACCTACAGAAATTACGATTTGTCTGTCAATACAACGCAGGAACATCTTAAAACCTACTGTGTGACCATGCACGTGAAAGCTGTCGGCTAGTGCTGTCATACAGTACTGTTTCGATGCTAGGTTTTGCAGGATAAACTAACTTGTGGAAATAAACGCGTCTAGCAACTCAAATCAAAGTCACTGGGTAGTAAATATATGTAGAGTTTGTTTTTCTTTCTTCTGGAACACATAGTTGGGAGTTTTGTTTTCAATTATGAACCTTGGATTGTATCTCTGTTGATAGTGAAAAGGTTTTGATCATTTACTCGACTTTCCTTTCTAAAATTTTACCTGTGCAAGGTTGTACAATCCTGGAGGTGTTTTGACCTGTTCAAACAGTTCCATTGCTTCAAACAGCTTGCCTTCCTTCATTGATGCACCACCCATTGTCAAACGGACAGACTGAAGTTGCAATTTCACCTCATTCTCCTGAAAAAAAAACATAATTCAATTTAAAGATAAAATGTAGCCCCGCCTTACGGTCCATAAATTTTCTTATAAGAAAACTCCGTTAACACAGCCACCGCGATAATACGGCCAACGGCCACAGTCTAACCTCCCGACCTGTATAATCCTTTATAATAATTATTTTACTCCGTTCATAAGGCCACTCATCCAGTTATCTTGAGGTTTCTTTTTTTTTCTTTTTTTTAAGAAAAAAAAAAATTATATCTGCATTCCGGATGCTTGTCAAAAGTAGTTGTTTAGCAGTGCAATTCTGATATATCTGTTAAGACATCACTGACTTAATTTAAACCAGACATGAAATTTGACTCAACCCCGTTAATACGGATAGGCCGTTATATGACCGTTGATGACCGTATTAACCTGGTTCCACTGTGAGATAATCAAATAATTTAGAAAAAAGCTCTACTAAACTCACCAACAAACTGTCAAACATGTGAGGAAAGAGGGGCTTCTCGCAGTGTGGAATGCTCTCATCCCTAACAGAAACACAGACAAGCAATCTATCACAATCTCTATATGTATGTATCAATCAATCAATCAATCAATCAATCAATTAATCTATCTTCCAGTCAGTCCGTCAGTAAGTCAGTCAGTCTGTCTGTCTTTCTGTCTGTCACTCTGTCATTGTCAGTCAGACAGTCAGTCTGTCTGTCTGTCTGTCACTATGTCATTCAGTCAGTCAGTCAGTAAGTCAGTCAGTCAGACAGTCAGTCAGCAGTCAGTCAGACAGTCAGTCAGTCAGTCAGTCTGTCTGTCACTGTCATTCAGTCAGTCAGTCATTCAGTCACTCAGTCAGTCAGACAGTCAGTCAGACAGTCAGTCAGTCTGTCTGTCACTATGTCATTCATTCAGTCAGTCAGTCAGTCAGTCAGTCAGTCAGACAGTCCGCCAGTCAGTACAGAAGACTTACTTTTCTAACTTCTCCAAGATTATGAGAGCCTGGCGGAAGTAATGCATGCTCCATTTCTCCAAACTCTACAGATGGAATGAGAACAACACAATATGAAACAATACCAGAGTTTTGCAGAAACTTATCCAAGTGGACAAATGAAATGTTAATCAGGACGAGCATAGAACAGGAAGGACAACAGGAAGAACAACAAACCCTCCAATGTTCCTCATAATACCAGGGATTTGGGCCACTTCCCTTCAGATATAATGCCTGAAACAACAGATTTGTGATGTCAGTACATGTCAGTTAACTTCACCATCGCTCTTTTGAGACAAAATTCATGGCCATGGGTAAGAATATCCAGATAAATTCAATTTTAAATGTTGCTGGGATTCTTGCATCAGTTAACTGGAGACTCTTTCCCCACCCAAGTCTGAAGGGACTTGGAGAGAGTGATTCGAAACTCTCCTCCATCATTGCGATGGTCACGGCAATTTGAATGATGACAATGACAAGAACCATTGAAGTGAACATTGAATAATAATGCTTCCACTGACCTTGGATCCAAAGGCATTTGCAAGGTAGATCAGCAACTGAGCCTGCAGTCCATGCCTCTGGTCTACAGCTCGTATCTTTTCAATGCCAAGCTGAACAGCGCGATGAATTTTACCAGATTCATTCAAACTACAAGGGTAAAAAAATTAATACAAATATCAAACTTCACATTCTTGCCAATTGCTGCTAATTCTACCAATTTCAAAGAAATTGCAGAGGAAGACCATCTTTTAATCACTTGGTTTACAAACAATTAATTAACAACATGCAGTACATGGCAGAAGCATTTGTTCATGTAATATGAGCAATGGAATAATAATATGCCACCTTAACTACAAAGCCATGCTTTTTCATGACACTTGCCAACTAATATTATTCTGATTGACTAATAATTGCAGGACCACCAGTTGCAAAGAACCTACTCTATTTCAATTCACTATTTTAATATTAATAGCATTCCATAAAATCTAACCACCACCATTTAGAGGCTTAAAAGATGATAACTTATTTAAAGCTCTGTGGCAAAATACCTAAAGAGAACAATACAGTGAATGAAATTGAATTCAATGGATCATGTGTTTTAAAGGCATCTGTTGTGGAGTGTCAATCAATAACCCTTGGTTGACACTCGATTTACACTCCATCGACATCTCAATCAACGCTTGATCAACATCTTGATGGAAACTCTGTTAACATTCAATCGACGCTCGATTGACAGTTGCCCCATAGTTGGCAGAGTGTTGACCAACTCATATGTAACGATCAACACTCGATGGCCTGTCTGCGAAAATTAGTCACCTCTTGACCAACTGTCAACCGAGATGTGATCAAGTGTTGATTGAGATGTCAACTGAGTGCCAATTAAGAGTTGATTGAAGGTATCAATTGGCACTCCACCGCAGATACCTTTAGTACATGTACACACATTTCCAATTCAATCACAATGAATGCAAGGTACCTGAATTTCCCGGTGTACAAGTTATATGCCGAGTTCCACCATTCCTGCTGAACAGGCAAACTGAGAATGTTACACAGTGGTTGAGGAAGAACTTGTGGTTCGTAATCCTCATAGAAGATGTCTTTGTCCTCCAGCACTCTTGCAGCAGTTGTCCTCACAACAGCATAAACAAAGGCCTACGAGATAATAATAATCAATGTTATTTTAAGCGATATTGCTTTAGCCAATTAACTACACACCTCTCATTGTGAAAAAAAAATAATAAAATATTCTAATGCTGCCTTGGCATTTGTCTGCATAAACAGATGTCTTTCTTTCGTTGGAGGATTACCCAGAAAAACTCCACACCAAAGACACCGCTCTGCAGTTAGTTAGGCCATGTCACTCTGTGATGGCTGTCATTTGGTTTTGACTTAAATTCTTGTTTAAGTAAAAGCCAGTCAGGAATTACCAGAATCTCAATCTGTTGATTGTCAGTAGTGAGGAATTCTTAAACTTTAACGTCAAACTCCCAGATCTCTATACAGGGTATGAAATGAGTAAAAACACATGATGTTTTTACTCAAGCTGCTGCAAAAATTGCCTTTCCACCAGTATTTTAAGGGGAACTAATGCGATGATTTCTCTCTCTCAATGAGAAGCATTACCTCAAGGTCCCTCAAACATAGCATGTTAGGAGTGATGTGTTTCTCTATGCTTGGAACATCAAGTCTCAACTCCTGAAAAATGTCCTTCACCATGACACCCACTGAAAAAATAAGTTTTGATACATCATATGTGCACAATTATCTCCTCAGAGCTTTATTATCTAGCTCTCTGCACGCACTGCAGGACTATGATGCTCCCTCATCATAGGCCTGCAGTGCATGCAGAGAGCTAGATAATAAAGCTCTGAGGAGATAATTAACAACAATAAGACAAGTATATGGGGAATTATGATACTACTACAAAGGAGGGAATCATGTTTCATCTCCCTAAGGACAAATGAGAGGTTGATACAATATATTGCCAAGCACGAAAGGCCAGGTTTGACCACATTTCCAGATGCTGAGAAGATAGTTGAAAATACAGCGCATAGCCAAGTATTTTTGAGGTTAGAGGTGTTTGGAAATGTGGTAACACACTGTCTTGAGTATTTGCTATAATTATCTTCTCAATCAAAACTTAAACTTAAGACAAAACCTGGGTAAAATGGAATCGTAAAAATCTACGCTAATTCGGATCAGCCAAACATCGTCATGGGTATGGTTTCGTTGGTTTGTTTAAACTTGATGTTGTTAAATGAGTTTGAGACTTACGTGTAAGGTTTAAATGAAGTTTTGTCACTAACCTCCAGGTCTCATCTCCTTGTTATATTGATACCAGTGCAGGCCAACCCAAGTGATATTCTCCAGGCTGCGAGGATTTTCACCGACTGCCACTAGAAAAAGAAGAGAGAAATGAGGTTTATTTACATGTAGATCACTGAAGAATTTGGTACAGACCAGAAACAATGCACAATAGTCAAAATTTTGTCAATGTGGAAACTTCCAGGATCAAATTGGATTGACCCTGTTTCCACATTTATAGCTTTTGAAGCCATATCTAGGTATTTATGGTGTTACATGTAGATGTGAGGAAACAATGTTTTGTAGTACCGATGCAAAAACAAACTAACTTACAATATTCAATATCTCACCTTCATCCCAGCTGACCAACTGGTCGGCATCAGGTATTGTCAGTTCAGTACAAGGGAACTCTCTATCACATGCCAGGAATGACTACAAAATGAAAAGGTCAAACATCTCAGATGTTGCACTCCAATGGTGTGCAATCTCACAAGCATGAACACCTCAAAATTACCATTAGAGCTTGTGGCTTATCTGTCTCACATCCAATTGGTTTTTGCTTACAACACTACAACATTTCACAAGACTTCCACTGTAGTTCATGCTTTTCTGACTTGCACTGTAAAAATGTCTAGTTTTCTCAGTTATATTGAAACAAACAACAGCCACAGTGTTTTGCACAAAAAATAAATCAATATACAGTACTTACATTTGCTAATTGTTTCTCATCCCTGTAGACTGTGTTAAGAATGTCCTGCTGGCCCTGCCGTGAACAGCAGTCGGAGTGACAGGTGCTCATCCATGCTGCACCATGCCTGTCTCTTGTAGCCATGATGAAGTGTCCTGCCAAATACACAACACTTTTATTAGATGGTATATGGGGTGTCGGCATTACATGTAACACAGGCCTACTTGTAATGCAAATGTGTGCTGACAGCAAGGTTTGTGATACAGGTACTATCTTCACAGGCTGAGTGGCCCGCAGTTGCCACATCTAACTCTGCTTTTGGTACGTAACCATAAATCAGCCACAGCTTTTACCACTCCCCCCTGAATAGGATGAGCATTGCTCCATTGCAGGTTACCCCTGTGCATTTTTCTTAAAGTTGCTCTAGCAACTCTCCACTATCAGTTAATACAGCTTGGTGAAGCAAGGAACTGTGAAAGCAAAGCATTTTGATCAAGGCTCAAACACAGACTACTTGATGAGAGCAGATTCAGCGTGCCTGCCAACCATGCTACTTACCAGTTTGGCTAAGTCTTGAGCATGCCATGACAAACCACTTAAGAGGATCCTTGTTTTTAGGAGCTCTTGCCACCCATGGTGTCTTCGTTTCTGGTTCAGGGATGCTAGTACTTGCTAAGTAACAGGCGCATGCCAGCTTCAAGCCTCTTGGCCACGTCACAAATTTCTGCAAGATAACAAGACCACAGTTACAGTGACAACAATCTGTGGCCTGCTTCTTGTCCAAAGTTTCTCTTTTTTTGTTTTGTTACACCGCTTTTTCTAAGTGCTAATGCCAAAATTCAGTTGTGGTGCAGATTGTAAGGCCCAGTTCAGATGTCATGCTTCTGCCGTGCCAAACTGAATTCAGAAATTAAGTTTGACAAAAGCACATCAGAGGTATGATGTCTGAATCAAACTTTAGAATTAATCTCAGCAAACAATGAAGTTCGACAAGTTCTGCCGTGCTACATGGCAGCAATTCAAATGTCCTGTTTCTGCCACACCAAACCAAATTCATAAATTTTGTCTTTCGGGGGGATTGCATTCCCATGGGGAGTTAGGAGTTGAGAATTGTTGCATGGCTTCAATAAATTTTGAATTTTGTACAACTCTGGCATAACATCTGAATCTGAGTCTTGGTTCTGTCATGCTACAGTCAAACTTTATTGCAATTAAGTTCCACACAGCAGAAGCACACCGTCTGAACCAGCCCTACGTGGTTAACAGGCTGTTCAAAGCACAATTTGAAGTGCTACTAGCAGTGTTTCCGCCAGAGTGCGCCATTGCGGGAATCCCGTGTTACAATCAGAGATGGCCCCCAGAAAAACGAAAAAAGAGCCAATTTAGCCCTTTTCTTGTACAAGACTGCAGGCCTAACATAGGCGTAATATTTTAAAAACCATCCCAGGGCTGGAAATTGTGATAGATACGGTTGCCAATGCAACAAGCATTTCATCCTTGGCAACCAAACATTCTGGTTTAGTCGCCATAGTACAGCATAATGGCGACTCCATTTCTCAGTGTTGATGATCAATAACAGCTATTTTGTCACACATTATGTCCGTCTAGAAAATCATATTGAAAGATCTTTGTTTCTAAAACATTCAACATAAGAAAAGAAGTCAGTTCGTCCCTTTGTTTTGCTGTATTGATTCTCTCATATCGGAAAACTTCCAAATGGCTGACCGAGTTTGAAATCACCCTATAATGCATTGCAAACCCTTAATCATTAACTACTTCATGTAGGCCTAAGGATTGTTCTCTTGTAATGCACGGATCCTTCATACTAGTACCTGATTCAAAAGAAACTTTATTGAGTAGAAACCCTTCAAAAAGCACTTAAATTTTATCATAGATCCTAATAAACTGCTTTATTTTCCTTGGTACCTTGACGCATTTTTTCCTTCTGTAGCTTTCAGTTTATTGGCCCCTTTCCTAAAAAATTGGCCTCTAAAAACGATCTTCAGGAGCCACTTTGGCCCTCAAGTAAAATTTTCTGGCTGAAACACTGTACTAGTTCAAATTCTAGGACTATTCAAGAACAAGACATTATGTTTTAAATATAAACTATAAAACTGGGACTGGTAACAGGTTGTGATCCTTGGTCCTGACTAAAAGAGGCACACCCTTAGAGGACTAGAAAATAAGTGCATCACTTTGATTGACAGACATTTATCGCTGTCTAAATCTTGACAAAACATGTTGTACACAGATTTAAATCCAACTGCTTAGGAAATAACATGACTGTATAATTATTCAGTGATAGAGATACAGCACCATCATCTCGGTTGGAGCACAATTGAGAAGGCCTCAAAAGACCGGCACTAGATGACTGACTGACTGACTCAGTGATATCACTTATACATGTACTTTGCTTACCTCCTTGGCTAAACGAATTAATAAAGTCCCACAATGCATGTACAGCTGAGCTTTCATCTCAGTTAGAATTACATCCCACTCAGTTGGTCCACCAGGTGTTGACCTTCTTGGTGACGGGCGGATTTTACGGCCATGTGCCATGAACAGAGAGTGATCCAGCCTGAACGTAAAGGACACTTGGTTTAGATTTACCATCAACTTCCCATCAACACTAACCTCACACTAAATCTACCCTTGTATGAAGATGAAGCTAGGAATTCCAACAGAAGAGAATTGGTGATGACAGTTATAGAATGTAGAACTTTACATTCAGTTCTACATGTACATGTACATAACAGAAAGAAGTAATCATATAGGGACATGGGAAATATATTACAGGCTGCACTAGCGTGGATTTAGGCAAAGAAAATCCAGCTTAAAACATGATACCCTTTCCCTGGCTACTGCTTGTTGACTTAATTGATTGTACTGAAGTTGTCTCTGTGTTGCATGACCCTAGTTCTTGTTCCAAACTCGCAAGAACCAGGTTTAAGGTGACCATAGCTCTACCATAGATACAGGTGCATGTATGTAATCATAGATACAGGTGCATATATGTAACCATGTTTCACAGTATAATAAATGAAAATAATATTAGAAAAGTCTTCACCTGAAGAGGGCATTGATGACCTCACGAGTGTCATCACATTCACGCAGACTAAGCTCCACAAACTGACAAAGAGCGATCAGCAGTGAAGAGTGCACATCTAAGATGGCATTACCACAGCCTAGGACCTCACCTTTGTTTGCTACAATGCAAAAGGAACCAAAATTTGATACAAGCTCAAATAACTAATTTTAACATAGACTGCACTGTACTACAAGGATTGGTAACAGGAAAAACAACTGTAAGGTAGTACTTACTATGCTTCTCCAGAGCTGCAAGGTATTTCTGTAAGGCAAAATATGATGGGACAGTTGACAACATGTCACTACAGTCAATGTACATGTATAACCTCTGACACCACAAGAAACAAGAACAATTTCATTTTAAAACAACCTCTTTATTGCTCTTACCTCAAATATCTCTACACAGCATGCAACCCATTCTAAACTGTCCTTGAAGGCTTTTGTTTTTAACACTGCCGCACAATGAGAAAATGCCTCATCAAGCCGCCCTGTAAAGTAAACATTGTGCAACACATTAGCAACTACAGTCAAACCTCCGGTTGCAAACACTTCTCGTAAGCGACCACCTCTCCCAAGTGACCAGTTTTCCAAAATACCAAAAGTTTCTCAGTCAAATCACTATATTTGGAACCTCTTGTAAGCAACCACCTCTCATAAGCGACAGCGACCACTTTTAGAGATAAAAGTTTGAAATTTTCTAGTGTTTTTAACCCCCCTTAAGCGACCACTTGACAAGTAATAGAGCATAAATTGGATAATAAGGTGATGTAACATTATCATGTTCCTGGGTAGTACAAGAGACGAAAATTTTACAACGGCAAGTACCACATTTTTCTTTCGAAAGTGACTTTTCACATGAATAAAACATATAAAACATGGGGTAAGTCTCTGCAGTTACCATATGCTAATGAGGCCAAATTTTGGCTCAATATGGTCTAAGCTCTCCTAAGCAACCACCTCCTGTAAGCGACCTGGTAGGCTTGACATTTTGGGTGGTTGCTTGCAGAAGGTTCAACTGTATCAACAATCAAAACTAACAATGGATTAAAGGTATTTCTAACAAGAGCCAATAAATGCAAGAGATGTCACCCATGAAGAAAACAACACTCATCTGGCACTCCGCAAGGAGAAGTTAAGAATTAATCACATACCTCTTATGGCATACAACCTCACAAGCCTAACATGAAGGTCAACCTCTCTCGGTCTTTTACTCTACAGTTGTACAAACAAAAAGACACAATAGTCAGAGAAACTAATGACCAAATGTTAATCAAAATTATCTTAGACATCAGAGTAATAATACTGTAACTCTTACAACTGTTCCATGTTCTTTCTTCAAGTGATATTCAGTTAAAGGAATGCAATCCAACTCAGTGCTCTTGGTATAATATAACTTACATCAAACATAGTTTGGCACAACGTAACACAGCCGTCACTGCAAATCCGAATTGTGATCATGTTCACTTCGATTTGACTTCCATTTTTGTTTAGTTGTAAACCAATATGACTTAGTACATTAACTACAAGTTCAATCATCATTAGAGTCTGTGGTTTATTTATCTCACATCTGGTTGGTTTTCCCTTGTAAAATTTAATAACTTTCCACAAATATTCCTGGTGTTTGCATTTTCCTGAACAAGGTTGTCCCAAAGCTTTAAGCAAGTTGTTCTACCATTGGATTAGACAGTCCAGCACAGTAGCTGGCCAAATTCAAGAAAAAAAAGAGAATTTTTTTACTGGGAGCTAGCTTTATTTGACAACTCAGCCTGAAGCACACTATGCAAGACAGAGGAACTCACAGCTTCTTCAGAGATCAGATCCTCAAGAGCTTCATAATCCACTACTTCAGCAGACTCCAGGAGATGGAGCTACAATAAACAAGATTGTCAGTAGCTAGTTAGTTTGTCTCAAAGTAACTAAGAGAGGTATTTTAATGGCAAACAAAGTCATACGAGTACTGTTCATGAAAATTACAATCAATCTGTTTTAACCTTTACTAGCTGGGTTTCAAAAAATAATATCAATGAAGTCAATAGATAAGGGCTTCATTAAACTGTCAGAGGCTTTGTAATAATTTGTTAGGTCAGGTAGACAGACAAATCTTTCTGAGCCTTCAGGTTTTCCAGGGGTTTCTTTAAGGGCTGAGCACCAGGCAAATTGACCGGTAGTGAGGAATTTTGCCTACCTGGTTTGACCATTTGGAGGAATGTTTCTCTTATAAAGAAGTTTAGTTCAAAAAGTTTTGCCTGCCTGTGAAAACCAGTTGCCCCCAGCTGAAAATATTAATGAAACCCCTGGTTTTCAACTTGACACCCGTTTTAATAATTGGAACTCTGTTCCATACCACCACCCTATTTTCTACAACAAATGGACCTGAGATGACTACAAAGCACGGTGCCATTATGTGTGGTAATAATGTATTTACAAATATGATGTACTCACTCTCAGGTGAAACACATCTGGATGACCAGGAAACAAACGAGCTCCTCTGTCTGCCCACGCCTAGAAAACACAAACATTTCTTTTAAAGTATCAGGAAGTAGAAGACCAAAAGAACATCACTGACTTTCTCAGAGACGTCCTTGTTATATACGGTACATGTACCACCTAATTCTCAAATCCAGCATTAAACAATGTACAGTGACCAGTAAGGAGAATTAATATTTTAAGGCTGAGGCTGCAAAAGCTACTAACCCTGGCCCGGTCTGGATGAACAGGAACATTGCAGTACAACTTGACCACTGAAAGCAAACGGCAATGTGTAAAAAAATTACTTCCCAATGAACAGAGACAACATTTTCAAGAGGTTTTCATATTCTTACAGTACATGTAACTTAAGCAGTCACAAAAGAGGCCTGAAAAAAATTGCACTTTAAGAGCATTTGAACCACAGCATTTATAAATCAATCAAGGCATCTGATATGAGATTGTTCAATTTTACAGCCCAAGGAAGACTGATTTGATTTTCAAAGGTACTCTTGCAAGTGCATACACTGTAAGTAGCTAGTACGTAAGGTAGAAGATCACTTTATCCACTGATCTGAATTTGAAGGCTTTACCTCAATACATATATGTACACTGCATGTTACAGAAATATTAATTTTAAGTTTCATGATGAGTGATCTAACCTTTTAATACTAATTCCTTTTGGGTGTTGTTTAATTCCAAGGACCTGCAGAAATCAGCTGTTATTAGTCAAACATATCATAGTAAAAACATTAACTGTGTTTCTCCTGTCTGCTGTCTTGAAAATACCTTCTTACAAATGCCACAAAAAGTAAAAAGAAAACTGTTTTCTCCACAAAAAGATAATGACTTCAAAGAACAATAACAGATAAGCAGGTAAGCTCCTGGAAATTATGTATTTGCAATATTTTCAGCGCTTATTACACTGGTCATGAAATTAATCAGAACAAGTTTGTATCACTTCATTTTGAATAGCACAAATAAAATTCATACACATACCTTCTATACGAGGTCACAGCCTTTTCCAACTGTCCCATACTTTCATACAACTGTCCCATAAGGCAGTGACCCCTGAAATTAATTTTTAAAGTATAAAAATAATGTTAATAAATTCACTAATTTTTTTAAGTCCACTCAAAATGTACTATCTTCAATTGAAGTTGTAGTTGAGTCAGAAAAGAAGCGAAGTTTGGTTATTTCTACAGTGTATGCCGGTTTGTTTGATACGCAGATCCCAACAGCACATTCATGCCATCTTTGCACTTGTTCCCGCTTAATGTCACCTGGACATTTGGGTTAAGCCTCCCCTCTCTTCCCCCTCTGCTCCCCCAAGAGTGTCTACATTCCAGTAGCTGCAGATTGCATAACTGAGATGTGAAGATAACAACATAATAATTTATTGATTTTAAAATAAAGAGGGAATTTTTAACAAAATCAAATGAAACTTTCCCCTGTAGTTAACTGTTTAGTTGAAAATTTGCATATCCATTTTTCCTATTTATATTTTGATTTCAGAAGAGAGGACCACAACCATTGGTATGCCAGCCCAATGTTTCAATTTTTTTGTAACTGCATTATGCAAGTGCAGTCTTTCTGGTTTTGTTGCCTCCTGTTCTCAACATGAGGTCAACTTCATTAAAATGGAACAGTTTGCTTTACGTCATAATGCCTCACTCAAATAATGTCCAAAAGTGGACTCGCCTTGCAGGTCCTCCCTGTGGACACCCAGTTGACGTTAATTTAAAGAGGAACAAGTGAAAACGTTAACAGCTCCTTACATGCTGACTTCTATAGCAATGCATTTAAGGTCTACAACTTTGCTTAACATTTATCTAAGTGCAATGTCAAGAAGGTGTATAAATGTGAGCAAAAAGAAAACATCAACAATACCATAAACGTTCAACAAACTTTAAAAAAATGTATGTAAATTTGTACGAAGAATTGATGAATTGAGCTTTAGGTCAGAAAGGTGACAGGTTTCAAAATTTACAAACAAAAATGCACTTTGACTGGTGCCAAAGGACATTTTTTTTTAAGGGTAGGGGGGGTCACATACATGTAAACTCACCTAAAGTCACCTTCACTCTCACTGATGTAAGCTTCCAGGTACCTGAAGGCATAATCAGTGAAACCCACAAAGAATCTTTAGTTAGATCATAAGCTGGCAAGCACATGTAGTAGTAACATGCGATGCATGTTTGCATACACAAACTTTTAATATTGAAGCAACTTCCAGAGCAAACGAGATCCATGTTAATACACAGAAAGATTTAAAAGACATGAATGACAACTTCCGTTAAATATAATCACAATAAGTTAATTTAAGTTTGCTTTAGCTTACTGTATTGTATTCTTCCGTCAAATTAAAATTTGTCGAGTCAGAAAACATGGACAGGAAGTGTCAACGAAACTAGCCAACTAACCGTTTGGCGCTCTCATTGTCTGATGCTTCCTTGTAAAGTCTTGCAAAGGCAAACCCCTTCAAGTTGCGCTATAAGACAGGTCAATAAAAGTGTAAATCCTTCAAAACTGAGCTGAGAGAGAACTGCGTGAAAATGAATGAGAGCTACACAGCTTTACCTCGTGCGCGCTGGCACAGTTTCGTTCCACTTGAATCACGTATTTATCAACTTCATCCTTCGTCCAAACCATTTTTCAAGAGTTTTAAAATGTAGAGCTCACTATAAAGTAATCGATGTCAAATTAGCTTACAAAGCTGATTGACTTTCCGTACATTTTCGTGTTCAAATCGCCACAAACTCTCAAAATTCAAGACCGCGAAGTCGGCGTTTGACTTCACGCATCAGTTTTAGTCATAAGCCGCTGAGCAGTGAGATTCATCAAATAAAGTCATGAAATCCTCGTGACAGAGTGTGCGTGACACCAAGAGTTTGGCACTTTGTGGCCTGCATAGCCTGAAAACGTCTCCAGTTTCCTTATATCGTGTTCGTGAGTTGAAGAGGTATTCCACCTTCAAAGTTGTTTTTTTTTTGTCCGAATGAATGTTTCATGAGACATTTCTTTGACATTTTTTTTTTACAACGATCGTGAATGGGCACGCAGTTCACGCACTCGCCACACAACTTGCACTTCCTGTTTTTCTCGGAAATCGCCGATGTCTTCTACGAACAAACACGGAAAATATTAAGTTTAAGTTTCGTAGAAGTTAATGACATGCAAATAAGCATTTAGGCGTACGGAGCAAGGATGTTGCACCTCAAACCAAGTTTCTGTTTCGAGCCGTTTTACACCTAGCGTGTTTTCCAACTACATCCAACACTGGAGCGATGGCCGGGGAGTCACTGACATCGGGCTGTTAGATACATGTATGTACTATGCCTTCATTTCATTTATGTTTATAGGGGTTGATTAACCAACTTTTGTTGTGTTTTCTCGGACTGCACTCTAAATTCTCGGAAACTTCGGCACTTCGGCACAGTTTGAAATCCAAGAGATTGCTGAGATATCGCGATCGGACAATGAAAAGATATTCTAATCAAAGACATACATTACTAGTTTGGTCTAGTTTATAATAATCATGAATGAACAGTAAATACTCAACGCCATTTCTCTCTTCGGTATGTTAGTGATATCTTTTCCCAGAAATTGTATCAGTTAAAGGGTCAGTCTGTCCGGACTGATATGAGCTGATATAACGTACGTTAATGACCGGAAACTTTCTTACTCACGCCCGGCTTCGAATTTCTTGCTGAACACAACATAATGACTCTGGCCGGGGCTCGAACGGGACCGCTGGATCCGGAGTCCAGTTTAATTTTGCTCCGTATAACTTTTTTTGTCCCCTGGTTTATTTGTACATTTGGAGACATTTGGCAATGTAATCAGCCAAGAAACTGTCCTTTCATAGGAAAGATAATGACTAACAGTTACTAGTCTTAGTTTATCTGAGTATTGAAGAATGGTAATGCAAGTGAATATATATATCAAAGATCATATATTTGAACTGCGGAGAAAGATATGAAGACATGATTGATCATCACAGTTATACACACAAATTAAGCAGTTGTGAAATTAAGACATCAATATTCATCGCAGTTATATACACAACTTTTTAAAAGCAGTTGTAAAATTAAAGCCTGAAAAAAAAAAAATTCAGGCCTGAACGGGATTCGAACCCATGACCTCTGCGTTACCGGAATGGTAATGAGGTAATGTTCTAAACAACACACCGTTAATACCTTAATATCTAGTGGCACAGTTCGTGTCGAGCCATGATATAAGATTGATTAGGACATGACACAATGACATGACTTGACTAAGTGACGTCCCCTCCGTAAGTTGGATATGATAACCCGGCTGCAAGAAGCTTCTAAAACCAAAAATAACGACCTTCGCTACTTCCGGGATTTTACCATAACTGCTACAGTCGAACCTCTCCTTACGGACAACTCTATAAGGGCATCTCTATCTTACTGACAGCTCACTTGGTTCCAGAGAAACCAGAATTGTTGAATTCTTTACCTCTGTAATACGGACATCTCCACATTACGGACACTCGGCTCTGGGGCCCGTTTCTCGAAAGCCCCGGAAACTTTTCGGGTCCGCAAAGGCATTTTGAGTTAATCGGTATTTATAGATAGAGAGGTGTATACGCCTGAAACTTCTTATATGAAGAGAACCTCTGTTCATATTAAGAATATGTGAATAAAACAGCTCTGAAGTCATAAGTTTTGAGATTTTGCTGCGGCTTTTCGGGTGCGGAAACTTTTCGGGACCTTCGAGAAACGGGTCCCTGGTCCTTTGCTGTCCGTATATAAATAAATAAAGAGGTTCCAGTGTATTTATTTCCTAATATCACTGATACGTTAGACTAGAACATGATCCAAACCTTTGTATGCAAGTTGTAACTTAGCTTTGACGAGCTAAGTCACCTAGATTTGCTGCTTGCGAAGTGTGTAAACTTTTTGCTATCACTTTTGCATTTCGTTTGGTTAAAGGAAGGTTAAGTTCACGTGCACGCAGTCGTTAAGCAACGAGTACAAAGCCGTAATTATACAAGCGGGTTAACACTTTTACGGCCGTCTTCAAATCACGTTCCATTCCCTTTCCCATTTTTTTTTTCAGCAATCAATAAGTCGACCTGGTTTTCAGCTGCCATCAAATAGCTAACCCAGCAGCTGGAGGCGACGTTTTGTAGGCTAAGAATGGATAATGATCCTAACGTCTCCGAGCCGTCTCTTTCCGTAAGAGAAAGGGCACTTCAGGAAAAGATTGTCAGACTGGAGAAGAAATTGGAAGGCTACCAGTCTCAGATAGGTAACACTCTCAAGTGTACACATCTGGGTCGGGTTGTTCGAGAGCCGGTTAACGTGAATCCAGGATTAAACGTTGACTGAACTATTATTTTTTCTTGTTTAAAAATGTTTTTCACCTCTTACTTTTGGTGCAGTTTAAGATTACTACAGCTCAAAACTCAAGGGCAAACAATATAAACAGAACACCTCACCAAGTTACAAAACTGAAATCAAAATTCTCGCTAATTCTGGGTTAGCTTAATCGGGCTTTGAAGAACCCGGTCCTGTTTGATTATTAACTTGCCAAATGTGAACAAACCAATCATAGCAAATAAATGAGGTGAAACAAATTCTCGTTTTTTGCGACAGATATTATTGATGGTCAACGCCAGCAACTTGAAGAAAGAGCGATCAGCATGGAGTCTGCATTGGCGAAAGCGAACAACGGGCTTTTTGAAGCAAGAAAAGAGGTGACTGAAGATATGATCCCAGACTGTATTTTCTTTTCTTTTACTTTTTATTTCTGAACTCGCGAATGACACATTCTTGTTCTCACTCGGGTTATTTCAGTTTTTATAGCATTTTTAATTATTAGCTTTCTAGCTAGTCACAAATTCGAGTCTAAATAAAGTTTATGTCTGTATGTTTGTTTTAGGTGATGGACAAAGAGATAGCCGAGAAGGAGATGGCAGAGACATTGAAGTCCTTGACTCAGCAAGCTGAGGAATACAAGGTAAGATCGTCTACACACTCTGATCAACTTCAGGTACTCCTAAACACTTACGGGTAATTGCTTTCCAGCGAGCGCGCGATACATTAAGTTATTTTTTATTATTAATTTAATTACTTATTTTTAAATTAAATTATTATTTTTTAAAGGACAAGAAAATTATAAAGAAGGATTCAATAATTGCGTTTTACTCGTGGAGCAACTACCATCTGCCCGCAGTGTGAGTGGTCAGCAGATTCATCTTGAGGAACACCTAACACCTTCCTCCTAACTCCCAAGGACCCTCTTTCTTCCTCCCTTCCTCCCTCCCACCCTCCCTCCCGCCATCTCATCATCTCAACCTCGTCCCCAGGGCCCTCT